AGGTAAATGTTTGTCTAAGTTGGATAATCCCACTCGGTGGGGGGCGGGGGGGGTGTCTGCAGCCCCCCCCCCCCCCGTGCGCCCCCACCGCGTCCCTCAGGGTCACCCCCCCCTCGCCGCCTCTGAAGTGAACCCAGCCCAGGGTTAGGCGAAGTCGGGGAGTATAGGAGGGGGGGGGGTCTCCTAATTGTAAGGTGTCGCAATCGTCGTTATTATAATTATTTGTATTTCATTTATATATTTATAATGTTGGGTGTGGGAGCGGTGGCGCAGTGGTTGACGCGTCGACGCTCGCGACACACACCCCACGTATAAAGAAAATAAATTAAGTAATAGAATACGACGTTTCGATTGTAACGCAAGCAGTCATCCTCAGGTAGAACTAAATTTGAGAGACAAAACACAGACACGGAGACACACAGACAGACACACAAGCAGAGAGAGAGACACACACGGAGAGAGACACACAACATAGACACACACAGACTGTTACCTACTGCACAGGTATATATTACTACTTGTTATTATTAAGCACCGCATTGTGGCATACAGAGTACAGTGGAGTAACTCGACATTGTCTCCACATTGGCTACCGCGCGCGCTCTGCAACGCGCACGAAGAGTCGTTGCGTTAGACACGAGGCGCAAGTGGCACCCGTGGCGTTGTCAGATCGCGCCGACCGCGGGGTCTGCGCTTGGGGGGGGGGGTGGTGGTGGTGGTGGCGGTGTCGCGGTGTCGCGGCCGCTCACGGCAGAGGAGCGCCGGGCCGGGTCTGCGTCGTGCGAGCAAGCGCGCTGCGTCAACAAGAAGCGTTCCGCGAGCAGATTGTGTAACGCGCAGAAGACGCACACGTACACAAAGACCCCCCCCCACCCCGTATAGAGCCTGTGACGGACTGTAGGGGCAAGTGCTGTTAACGAGCACCTGTAAAGGCCGGCACGACACGGCACGCGAGGGGGTGGGGTGGCCGAGACCACGCCCGGCCGTCTTTGTCTCCCCCGGTGCGATGTTTACACATCGCACCAGGTTACTCATTTGAGGCTGAGTCGGCCTAGGGCAGGCCCAGGACCGGTTCAGATAATCGTCAACCGGTGTTGGCCTTGAACGGGAATCGAACCGGGGTTCGCTACGAAGTGACGTCACCACGGCGCCTGTGCCAGGCCACGTGCACTTTGAGGCCACGGGCACTTTGAGGCCACGGGTGGAATACATACACACACACAAATGCACACAGACACACAGATGCACACACATACACACGCGCGTATAGACATATACAAGCACGCATATGAGACCGATACACACGCATAGACAGATACACAAAGACAAAGATCACCCATATAGCACGCGTGAACAGACTGTTGGGGCAAGTGCTGGTCGCGAGCACAGATACGTACAGACAGAAACAAGCACACGCATGCATATGCATACAGACGGATACACACACGCGTATACACCGATACAGGCGGACACGCACACACGTATAGGCAGATATAAATACACAGATAGGCGGATACAAACAGACAGACAGATATAAGCACGTAGATAGACAAGTCAACGAGCACCATTGAACAGACTGTTGGGGCATCTACGTTGGCCGTGAGCGGGAATCAAACTCTGGTCGCCGCGTTCGTAGGCCCACTTAGAGACATACACACAAGACAAATATCCCCCGTATAACCTTAATATACTGTTGGGGCAAGTGCTGTTAGCGAGCACCTATTAATGCCGACATGGCACACGAGGGGGTGGGTGGCAAGCACCACGCCCGGCCGCCTTTGTCTCCGCAGTGGCGATGTTTACGCACCGCACCAGGTACTCATTTGAGGCTGAGTCGACCGAGGGGAGACTCAGAACCGGCTCTAATAATCGAACTCGGCACGCAAACGGCTACACTACTGCTCCCTTCAACACACACTTACACACCCTTACACAGACACAAAGACACACACACATGGTGATACATACAAATCGTTTGGCGATGCGGTGATACAGCGATGTAGTAGGTGTATCTACTACGTCGCTGTATCTACTACGTCGCTGTATTACCGTCTGCGCAACGACTCGTGAACTACACAATCCCTTGCTTGCGATACGATGCGACGTTGCCGCTTGGCTCACGGCGTAGCAATGTAGACGGATAACAGTCTAGCGACGTGGAGAGGGCACCAACACGGATCGCGGAGTGGTGGTGTCGAGAGAGAGAGGAGAGAGGTCTTTAACCGAACGGCACCGCGAGCTCCACGCTGTCTGTATGAACGCGACAGCACGGCTGCGTCTCGCCAGCTCGCTCCACGTCAATCCGGGAAGGCTCACCCCACCACCACAACCACCACCACCCCACCACCACCACCCCAACGCCACCACCACCTACCGCCACCACCACCACCACCGTCTTAATTATTTTGACAGACCCCAATGTGTGACCGGTGCGGTTGTTGAGTTGTCACCGTGCGCCGCCGCTGTGTTCCGTGTCCTTTGTCAACGAAATCACTCCCGAGTTGTGTTTCGTTGCGACACATTTGAATTCTAGTTTGTACAAACTAATTCATTCTAGTTTGCGTTGTGCGTGTCTTTTGTGTCTTTGTATTAATGTACGCGTCGTCGTATCTGCGTGTCTTTGTATATATGCGTGTCTTTGTATCCGTGTGTTTTTGTCTGTGTCTTTGTCCGTCTCTTTGCATAACCAACAGTCGCGGACGAGAGAGGCTGCTTTACGCTACATTATATAAACCAGGGCCTTCCAAGCCAGCCCGTTATTCGATGGCTGGGATATGAACACGCACCCAAAGTATCACTTTGGTTATCCACAGGTAGTCTCTTGTGTTGAACATACAGTGCCGTGTTGCGCATCTGCGGCGTGTCATATAAACGCGCACGTAGAATCAATTGTACTCCATTTGTTTGTTTTACTTCGTACGATGAATGGAGATAGACGGGACCAGCGAGCGGGTAGGCAGGCCGCGTCAACGCCATCGACTCCCAGATTTGTGTTTTTTTCATCGGCGAAGTCATTGACACGTGCGTGGTTACATTGCGTCGCGTAATCGCCCCCCCCGCCCGTTCCGTCTGCTGGGCGCGCTGATTAATCGTGGAATAAAGACGTCCGCTCACGACATCGGCATGTCCGCAAGACACGCAAAGACCCCGTATCGCCTTTAACGAGACTGTTAGGGCGACAAGTGCAGTGTTTCGCGAGCACCTTTGAAGGCCGGCATCGCACACGTAGAGGGTGGCTGACCCAACACCACGCCCGGCCGCCTTTGTCTCTCCCCCGGTTGGTGGTATTCACACAGCACATCAGGTACTCGTGTGAGGCCGAGTCGACAGACAGACACGTGTGTGCACGCACACATCCGGCACGGACACGCTGGTGTTTATTTAGACCAGTCGGAGCAAGTGCAATGCTGTAATCGTTTGTGCCGAGTATTTTTGTGTGTGTGCGCGCTCTCTGTGTGTATGTTGAGTAACTGTCACGTGAGTGCTGCTGTTAAGGAGACGTTTTTTTTAAATCTCATTATTTACAGCGAGTGCCCATCGCAACTACTGTCGATTGTCAAGTAAATCGTTGTTGCGTCCTGGCGATGGCGAGTAAGATTGATGAGTGTCAAATGCGTGCACACGTGTGCGTGTGTGTTTTGTAAGCCGCTGATGGAAACGTTAAGCAGCTAAACGTGTCACTCGTACGTAAGTACGGGTTGATATTTGTTGTGATAAAAAAAAACATTTACGGTAGTCGAAGAGCGGATTTATACCAATCCCCTAAAAAAGTGTAAGCGTTTTCGACGTCGTGTTATTAAAATAGCGACAAAGGCCAGGCCGCTTAAACGGCCCCGGTAATTTTTTTTTACACTCGACAAACGCACCGATTTCATGACGATAACGTCTCGTGTTAGCCACACAAATATTACAGACACGATCAATGATTAACGCGCCCATCCCCACCCCCGTATTCATTTCGAGCGCGATCCGCGTGGCCGCGGCGAGCTGTTCATATCGCCCACGACGCCCTCGTCGTCGCCAATGAATAATAACGACGCATTGTTATCACTTAGATTTACATTTTCGGAAAATATCCTCGTATTTTGGCGCAATGTGTGTCGCCTTAACCGACTTTTGTCTATAATATTCATTTTGGACAAAAGTTGAACTCCGCAATGAGAATATGTATGAGTATAGCACAAAAAAAACAAATATCCCCCGTATAGCCTTAACACATTGTTGGGGCAAGTGCTGTTAGCGAGCCCCCCTATACGAAGGGGTGGGTGGCCAATACCACCCCCACCCCCATCCCCGGCTGCCTTTGTCTCTCGATTGGCGACGTTTACACACCGCACCAGGAACTCATTTGAGGTTGAGTCGACCTAGGCCAGGACCCAGGACCGGTTCAGACAATCGTCACTGGTGTAGTCCGTGAGCGGGAATCGAACTTAGGTCACCGGGTTCGTAGCGAAGCGAGCTACATGCACGCAAAGTCTGCCGAGTTTGGGGGGTTCATCATCCCCGTGTTGAACTTTTTCGTTTTTTTTACTCTTTCCCCGTCTGACTCCTAACAACAACTCCCAAATTTACGGCTCCAGTTGCATGGAAATAATGGAACGCGGCCTCCCATGAGCGCCAACTCGAGTTTGAGCAGTGCTTTTTATTGGACAAAGACGCAGTCGACATGCGGTATGGGAGACGTGATTAACATTTTATTTACATCTGTGACGCGTATAAACTGTTAAAAAGAGTGTCATACGCTAAGCATTATATCCATCCTACGTACGCGCTCCGTGTTGTAAAATCTTAGACATGCGGTCAATCAACGTATGGCTTTTTTTTTATTTACAGTAATTATCGTAATTATCAAACAAAGTACGAAGGCATGTGTAGTTGATGTACACAAGCATGCACGCGATAATTTCCTTCATTTCACTATCCCCCTTGGGCTGTATCAATTCGGATAAACCTACGGAACACAATTAAAACGACACAATGAGCGAGCGAACTAAATACTGTGCTTTTCAAGTGCTTCCTTTATTCACGCTATACTTGTGGCATATTGTACCAAAACGGAGAGAGAGAGAGAGAGAGAGAAAAAAATATATAATAATAAACAAAACCATTACATACAATGCCAATTCTGTTTAACGTGAACGTCCCACTTAAATTAATATTCGATTCAAGTAATATTTACACGGGTTAGGGTGGAGGGAGCCAAAAGTGTTCACAACAAATGGGGCATCCAGTGAGGTTGCGGTGGAAACAAACGAATGGAATGTTGCTTTTTCTCATATATATTTATAATATAATATCTTACAACAACAAAAAAACTTCCCACTATGCAATGCGCGCCTTGGCTGGAGCGCCTCTGATGTAAACTTGGAGTGACTAAAATCATAGGTATATCCAGAGGACACGGTCTATGTATAATTACTGCACAACTCCGATGCCTTTCTCCTACCCCCCCTCCCTTGCCCCCCAAACTCATAAAAGTATCGTGGGTAGGCCGACGACCCCAACGACCCCCCCCCCCTTAAGGTTTGAATGTTGATCTCACGCTACACTGCGGTTAGCGAGATAATGTGTCGGTGCAGGGGGTGGGGGGAGTCTCCAAACTCGATCAGAATTCGATGTCAAACCGGACCCTGTTGCTATCTCTGTCGCCGTTTTGCTGGAATCGCCTTCCTTCATCGGTTCCAGTGTCACCGTTTATTTGACATCACGGTCGATGATGTCTGTCGATTTTTTTTTTAAACGTTTGATTATAAGTATATTGCGTTTGCCAATGAGCCGTGGGCCAAAAGAAAATTGCGATATTATTCCATATTCGCCCCGGCAACTGCGGTCATTATATATAATCTCACTGTATATATATAATCGTGGGTGACTTAACGTCTTGCCACCGATCCGACTTTTGTTTTAGTTTTTGTTTGCCAAACATACCCAACCCACCCACCCACACCCGCCCATCGCCGCCGTCTTTCAAAAACACTGACGCGATCAAAACAAACCAACACAAACAAACAAACAACGAAACAGAAAAGGGAAATCAAATGGATGACGACACTCACGCGCGATCGCCAGCAACGCTCAGAGTTTGTCTAGGCTCTTGGTGTTGGTGAGGATTTCGCGTGCGAGGCGCCACGTCTGCTTGGCCGCGTTCTCCAGCGCCGAGTGTGGTTTCCCCTGGAACAGGTCGAGGTTCGGCAGAAAGTAGTGCGGGCAGCGACGGCACTGCAGGCACGATATGAGCTGCAGCAGGATGCCGTTGAGGCGGTCGCCCAGCGTGCACTCGTCCCAGTCCGACTCGCGCGGGTGCTTCTCGCACTCGTACATCAGCAGGGTCTTCATGTGGTAGTTGTTGAGCGGCGTGCCCGGCAGCTCGAGGTGCCGGTCGCGCAGCGCCTTGAGCACGGAGAGGCATTTCTTGCGGCAGCCGCCGAGCAAGAGGCGATTCTCGGCCTCGGCGAACTGCAGCACCCAGGCGTCGCTCTCGGCCGAGCTCTGCTTGCCGGCCAGCGCATAGCACTCCTTGGAGAGCAGGTTGAAGCCTTCCGCCTTCACCTCGGCCACGCGGTTTGGCCCGGGCCAGGGGATGTGCGGCAGGGGCCAGTGCGCCGCGCTGCGAGGCCAGATGCCCGCGCACTTGAACGCGGGCGTGATCTGCACGACGTAGCGCTCCCGGATGCGCAGTTTCACCTCGCTCGTGTCCGCCACCATCTTCACCACGTCGCGATAGCTGCACTTGTCCACCGCCTGCGCCACGAGCGTCTGGAAGCGCGAGCGGATCTTGCGCGCCGACAGGTAGCCCGACGCCGTGATGAACTCCACCCACAGCGACATGCTGCGCTTGCGCCCGTCGCTCAGCTTGAGGACGGCGCAGCCGGGCAGCGAGCCGTCGTCCACGAAGTTGAAGACGCCCATTTGGTTGAGGTAGAGCACCACCTCGAACTCCGTGGGCGAGATGACCTCGAGGCCCTCGAAGCGGCCATCGATCTCGCTCAGGCTGCTGATGAAGCGCGGCTCCTGCACCTCCACCTCCTTGAGAACGTCGGACACCACCTTGCACACTTCGCGGATGGTCTTGGCGATGGCCGCCTTCCTAGCCTGACATCGCTCCGTGTAGTACTTGTTGAGCTGGTACACGAGCTTGGCCTGCGCCGCGATCATGTTGGGGCAGAGCTCCGGGTTGTACACCGGAGGCTCGCAGTACGCCGACGGATCCAACGCGAACGGGTGGGCGGGCAGCGCAGCGAAAGAAATGGTGGCAGAGTTTGGCGCAAAAATAAACAGAGAAACAGATGATCAACAGCCGACGCCGCCGCCGTTACCTCCTCTACCACCACTACCACCACAGCGACAATTCAACGACACGCAGAGGGCGGCGAACAACAATTTGAGTGGCGGGGTGAGCTTTGAACTCTCCGTAGCGGTGGCGCCGAGACGCGGCGCGCACCCACGTTTTTTCAGAGCGCCGAGAAGCTGCGCGCTCGCTGCATAACCGGGGCAAGGAGCCTGCGTGAGCCGCGACTGCCGCTGCTGCGTATATTAGTTGGTGGTGGTGTTGTTGATAATGGTGACGGTGTGGTCGTGGCAGGGTGAGTGTGTGCGTGCGTGTGTCTCGGCTGTCGGGCCGCGTCTGTGGGCGAGTGCAGCCTGAGTGCTGGCGCGGGGGGGGAGATATAGGAGGAGGCTTCAAATCGTGCGCCCAATCAGCACGGGCTGCCCCCGCCAGGGCTGTCGTCACACAGTTGGGCAGCCTCCCCTCCGTAAGCGCCCTTTCCTTCCACCACTACCGCCACTACTATCCCACCCCTCCTCCCTCCCTTCCTCCTCCTCCCACTCACTCCTCGTCGCTCCCGGCGCGATAGCACGGGACGCCCCCCTGCCCGCTTTCCTAAGCAGCGCGCACGCGTTCACGGAGAGAGGCGCGCTCCGCACTCGGCGTCTCTCTCCGTGCTTCGTGCCCTGCGTGTGATGGGGGCCTCGGTTGCGATGAGCGCACGGGCCACGCGTCTTCGTCGCCGCATCAAACTTTCAAGTTCGCCACGCTCGTCGTCATCGCCACCACCGCCACATCAGCATCCCCACGTCGGCTTTGAATATGTTTTTTTGCCGCTGTTGTCACCATCGTATGCACGTGTGTGCGTGTGTGCGTGTGTTTGGGCTTCTTTGGCACCGTACGGAGCCAACCGTGCTGATCGGTGGCGCGGAGGGGGGGACAACGAACTAAACAGAAGGCAGTTCTCAAGAAATGACGGCATCATCTTCATCTAGCAAGTCCGCCTAAAATGCATTATCGTCGCTATTCACCAATTCACCGCATCACTTTAAACATTCATCACCATCAGCGCCAAACAATTTGCTATCACCGGCATCGTGAGCCTAACTCCATCACACTGGATGTTCGCCCACTGCTTTCACTTATCACCGCATCGCAATCGCCACGACGCTTTGAACGTCCACCACTTAGTTTGTTGCAGAGGTCGCAAACGGGGTTTGATTCCTTACCCGTACCCGGCCGCACCAGGGTCGCAAACGGGTACCCGGCCAGGTACGGGTAGCTGGGTATCGGGTAGGGTACTGGTATCGGGTACCCGGTTGCGACCTCTGGTTTGTTGTCCCCCCCCCCCGCACCTCCGATTAGCACGGTTAGCCACGTACGGTGCCAAAGAAGTTCAAGCATGCGCACATTAACGCATCGCCTTATCAATCTGTGAAGTCACCGCTTGCCACCATCGCCATCACCCACGTTACGTTAATGCGAGCTCTGCCTTCGCCGCGTTTCCTTACCGCGCCGCGTAATCTGCTCTTAGATCCACCACTCTCCTCCACCCGTCGAGTCGCCGCCACTATCTCGACCACCGATCAAACAAATTCATCCACCGCCCCCCTCTCTCACACACCCCCCACCCCCCACCCACCACGTCGACATCGCCGCGTCTTCTCGCCCACCCCGCCAACCGCGGGCAGGGAAATCCGCAGGGAGCAAACACTCGAGCGAGCGAACGCGTGCGTGCGCGCGTGTGTGTAATTAGCAGTGTGTGTATGTATGTATATATGTGTGCGCGGGGTGGGGAGCGGTAGTGTAGCGGTTAGCGCGCTGCGCTATGAACCTGGCGACCAGTGACGATTATCTGAACCGGTCCTGGGCCTTCCCTAGGTCGACTCAGCCTTAAATTAGTACCTGGTGCGGTGTGTAAACATCGCCACTGGGGAGACAAAGGCGGTCGGGCGTGGTGCTGGCCACCCACCCCCTCGTGTACCGTTCCGGTCTTCATAGGTGCTCGCTAACAGCACTTGCCCCTACAGTCTGTTAAGGCTATACGGGGGATCTTTGTGGGGTGGGAGCGGTGGCGCAATGCTCAGCGCGCTGCGCTACGAACGCGGGCAAGCCGAGCTCGATTCCCGCTCACGAACAATAACAGTGGCGAATATTTAACTCGTGCGTCAATATCGCCACTCGGGAGAACAAGGCTGTGGGGCGTGGTTGTTGTTAACCCTCCCCTCATGTGCCGGGGATCTTTGTATTTTGTTTAATACTCTGTATGTGTGGGAAGCGGTGGCGCATTGGGTAGCATACTGCGGTAGAAACGCAGCGACCTGAGTTCGATTCCGGGCCCGCTGCTAACGCTCGATATAATTGATCTCAAGCCCTCCTGTAGGTCGATTGAGCATGAGATTATTATCTGGTGTGGTGTGCGCGAGACTGAATGTCGTGATCCGGGCCACGACAGCCTTCTCGTTCCGGCCTTAATGATATATAGGTGGTGCTCGCGCGCGTATTCCAGAATGATGTGATCTGTGTCACACACACACGAGCCTCTTGTGTTTATTAAAGAGCGCGTGGATTTTGCGCATAGTGAGTAAACCTGTACATTTAGACACGTATGTATATTCAAGTATACATGTCTGTTTTATACATTAAATATCACGACTACGCGTAATAGTAATGCATTTTTATCCAGGATAACATCGCCTGGATATTAAGACTCGTTTTCAAGAGGGTCCTGTGTTGGGGATGTTTGGCCAATGTCATAAACCAAGCCGCGTGTGGCTTGTGGGAGGAAACCGGAGGACCCGGAGACAACCCACCACGCTCAGGGGCGTGCAATAACAACAGCACGCAGAGATCCACACCGATAGATTCAATAATCCATCGTTGTGCCGCCATCTGCTGACCACATCGATGACCCAATCATGCAAACATCCGATATTCTTCCTGGACAGTCTTGGCAGTCTTGTTCCGAGTACAGTACTTATACCAGGCTGGTTTTCCATGCTTAGCTTCGGAAGATTTGGCCACATGCGGCAAAGATAAAAAAAATGCTCGCGGTGACCTCGCCGGCGCGATTGTTTAGATTATGTTGCTGCTATAAATGTCCACGTGATGATAAGCCCACTTCGTTGAGCTATTATTTGTGGCCAGGCCGCTTCTGAAAAATAAGCTAATAGTTCAGTGGGCTTTACCTGGTAAGATAAAACAATAGTTTAGTTGTATTTGCATATATATTGAAAGTGATGTATTTACTATACCTATACTTTTCACTCCTGGCGTGTTTTGTTTGATTGGTGTTGTAACGTTGTGGACATCTGTAAAAAAAAGAGCTTTATAGGTCATCGTATTCCTCCAGCATAAATATTCTGATTCTGAATGGAAGAGACAAGTGTCGGGCCCGAGGGAGAGACGTTTGTCGCTGGCTGTTGCGGTGAACGCGACGGAGAATTTGTCGATCCGCATCTTCTCTCGCTCTCTCTCTCTCTCTCCTCTTGGGGGGTGGGGTGGATTGGAAGGGATTCGAGAAGGCGAGCTCGCGTTTATAAGGCCGAGCCATTGTTAGTGATATCATTTTATGGAATTGTAATTTTGTTGTTGTTGTTGCGGTCGTTGTAACAAAAAAAATGTTTTGGCTGGTGAGGTTGTCATCGCGGTGAACAAGGAAACTGTTCGGAAATCTCGCAGAGCAGAAGCGATTCCAAAGGGATTTGCATAGAAGATAAAACATTCAAGTGACCTAGATAAATTCTATACGTGTAGAATTAGAATCTGTATTTAGACTGGAATAATCCGATAGGCCTTCACGCCTAATATCTAATCAAGTTGCTCACGTGACAACTTTATTTGATTCGGCTCTGTCGGGTCGTGGGGGGGTTATAGTTTTAGAATAAAACTGACATTACACCAACACGATCATCGAAACCACAATACAACTAATGACGAGTGCTGGCCGATTGATGTTGCTACACGAGATGACTCCTCCCACTGCCCCACACACTCAGCGGTGTCATTGATGTTGGTCGCGTGGCAGTCGATCCGAAATAATTATCAACGGAGCTGGGATTTAGACAAGTTAAAGCGAAAGGCCACGTTATTTGTGCCCTAATTGGTCGAAAAGTGAGACCAACTGGCCAAATCGGATATCGTTCATCCGTTCGAAAAACTCCACACCGCTAAAAGTGAAACATTGAGAGCTCGCTCGTTCCCCGTTTGTGTCTTATTTTCTGTCCTCAATAGTTGCACCTTCATCTGAATCGTCGGTTGCGTAAAACGCTCGCGTGCATTGGCCCGCTTGGCGTTAATTAATAGCTGAATTGTTTGCAGCTGTTCGTCAATCCACTGCTGGATGAAGGACGTAGCGGGTTGCTGATAGGGGCACGAGGCTGAGGACCGGTTCAGGCATCACTCGCCCGCTCACGTTGTCCGTGGCCTGGGATGAAACTCAGGATTTCCTGGTTCACAAGGGACCAGGTAGTGTTTGTCTTAACGGGATTTGTCCGCTTTCTAATGGCTTTGGTGTCACACTCCACGTGGACCAGAATTACTTTGTTCACTGATGAGGAGGAGGGTCGTGTGTTTTTTTTATTATAAGCGAAAGATAAGAGACTTAATTAAATTTCGCAACTTTATGCTAAAACTGCTGCCCTTTTATTAAAATCAATCAACATTCGGCCGTATATTTTTACGTCCCCAAATTAAGGCGTTTGAGTTCGGATTTCGTTCGTTATTAGCACGCAGACTTGACTAAAGTTTGTGCCGAGTTTCAGCTTTATATCCATTAGAGAGCATCGTTAGATAATTTACACGAAATCAGTCTACGTTATGTGTGTTTCCGGTAAAATATTAAAGTTGCTCGTAGTATAAGTTATGCTACCGGTACATGGTGATTCATTTAAAGACACCCAGCCGCTGATTATAATCAGCTCAAATAGCCTTGTATTGTTGTTTTCAATAGGCGAGCAATGGCTCCATATCTTCCAGAGCGGGGCAGTGCTAGGAGATGTATTACGTGTGCATATAGCGAGGTTTGTGGGTCGATCATTTGTAGATTTGAATTAAACTATTGTCTCATAATTAATCCCGACGATAGTATTTTAGTTTAACATGTAGGCTTTCGCGACCAATATTCATAATCAAGCTTTTTGGGTAAAATCGCGTAAGTATAAATGTGTCGTAACCCTCCACCACCCGACACGGCCCGTGTAAGCTTCGTCACGTAAACAAAACGCGCCGATCAAGTTACTCCTTCAGCCCACCGGTGTGTTGGGAGAGTAAATCCACGACATTTACAATTGTACCGTATTGCATTCGGCTAATCTGTTAACGGGTTCACCCGCTACGTGGTGCACGTGTGCAGTTGTTGTCACGATGCCCTTCGCGTCTCGGGATTCCTCCCTGCGTGGACGGTTCGCGGACGGTTCGCGCGGCTAAAAACAAACAAGGCGAGCGGGGAGCGGCACGCGCCTTCTCCCAGTGTCTCTACGCATAAGCCACGAGCGGC